AGCCTCCCCTGCTCTAACCCACCAGCCCCCACGCCCCTCCCAGAGCCGGGGAGAGAACCCAGGAGTCCTGGCTCCCAGCCCCCCCGCTCTAACCCACCAGCCCCCACTCCCCTCCCAGAGCTGGGCAGAGAACCCAGGAGTCCTGGCCCCCAGCCCCAGGAACGGCTCAGTCGGCAGGAGACGGTGCAATGCTCTCAGGGCCCAGCATTCACTGTCACTCCCTCCTGGCCCTTACGCCACCCGAACAAGCCGGCAGTTGACCCCCCCCCGCACCCCGAGAGCGGCGCAAGGGGGAGCACAAAAGAGCCCTGAGCCGCCTGACCCCAAGCCCTGGCACACAAGGAAAGAACAGAGAAGCCAGGCCGGGAGCAGTCACAAGGGGCCCGGGACAGAGGCCAGCTAGCAGGGCTTTCTGCTCCCCTGTGCGGCCCGGACGCTGGGGTCCCTAGGGCAGCTCAGCATACGCCAGCCCCACCATCGCCAAGGCACTCAGCACCAATGCCGTGTGGAGAAGTGACCCAGGTTACCCTGTGGGGGAGACACCCAGCCGCCCAGGGGGATTGTGGGAAGTCTCTGCCCGGCCCCTGGAAAATCCTGAGGGTCCCGGCAGGCTGAGGCGTGGAGGCAGCACGGCCTAGCGGGTAGGCCACGGGGCTGGATGTCAGGGGGCTCGGCCGGCCGCTGCCCTGCTGGCGCTGGGAGACCTCAGGCAAGTCCCTTCCCCACTACTTCCCCTCCGTCCCAGCCTCTGGGTGGATTTCAAGCTCCATTGGGGCCAATGGGGGCCTCGAGCTCTGTCCCCAATTTCAAATGGGGGGGGGGGCTGTGCCATGCTTGGCGCCGCAGGGGCACTGGCGCTGGCTGAGGTCCGGGCAGCGAGTCCTGGAGAAGCAGCAGCGTTAGCCCAGCCCAGCCAGGACAAGCAGGCAGCGGATTTCCAGGGGAAAGGACTGAGCGTGGGAGACGCGCAGGGCTGAGCCGGGCAGCGGGTGGGAGGGAGAGCTGGGAAGCCAAGGAACTAGTGTTTATCTTGGAGAAGGGGATTGGAGCTGGGTTTTCTCTGCTCCTGCCCCTGGACTGCCCTTCTGCCGGGCCCAGCCAAAGCCGCCTTCCCCCCACCCCCTTCCTGGCACGGCAACCCAGGTCACACCTCCAGAGTCAACAGGACTTTGTACTCTGAGCGCTTGCCAGCTTCCCAACCCACCCTCATTCCCGCCTCAGAGAGAACAGTCTGATCTAGAGAGGAGAGCTGGCAAGGGAAGGAATGCAAGTGTATGGCCTCCCTGCCCCCCACCCCCCAACCCATGCCCCTCCTAGAGCCGGGGAGAGAACCCAGGAGTCCTGGCTCCCAGCCCCCCCTGCTCTAACCCACTAGCCCCCACTCCTCTCCCAGAGCTGGGGAGAGAACCCAGGAGTCCTGGCTCCCAGCCCCCCCTGCTCTAACCCACCAGCCCCCACTGCCCTTCCAGAGCTGGGCAGAGAACCCAGGAGTCCTGGCTCCCAGCCCCCCTCCCCTCCCGCACCAAGGAGCGAACCCCGCAATGCCGGGCA